GCATCATTCGCCGTGTCTTCGGCGTCTCCACCTTGAGATGCCGGAGCGGCTCGGGAGCTCGGGAGCTCGGGCCCACACCACCGGCCTCCAGCCAGCATTCCATCGGAGCCAAGACTTGTCTTCGCCTTGCCTTCGCCTTGCCTTCGCCTTGCAAGAATTGCAAATATTACTACATATTGAATCCTTCGCAGGTAGCTTGTTACCATTGTCACGTCTCTCTATGAAGAGAGAATCTTCAATAACCTTCACCGGTTGAATTCCTTAGATGCTTTGGTTCTCGAAGAGTCTTGGAGAAGGCCCCGTCTGACGCTGCACAGTGATCCCATGATAAGGGGAATAACCATGGATCTGCAGAGAGATAGATAGTAGGGTCGTCTTGCGTGAGCTGCTTCCGTTCGAATACATAGAGCAGAAGATCGTCTCTTACAGCGTCGAAGAACAAGCGAACAGTTCATGTACAGGCTTCAACGAAACAGAGCTCTTGGAGGGGATCCGATTGAATCATATGCTCTGTATCCTTGGGTCGTAGCGAAGCCCAGAGCCTCAGAAGGCCTGGCTATTCTTTCACTCTACACGGGAAGCTTCACACAAAGTTCCTCCCGTCGTCCACCCAGCTTCAAGGTGATTGCGCAAGGTCTGTGGCCCTTCGACCGAACAAGCTGCAGTTCTAGCCGACAAAAGGCCGGCTAAGTGCAAGAATATGTCGATTGCCTCACTCTCACACATAGAGCCACGCCCTCCAGCCGAGAGAATGTCCAATAACATATACCGAGCCCCGCTTTTACCTCGAACGAGCCCAAAAGCTGCACAGATGAGACAGCTTCCAGGTACGGGGAGTGCTGTTAAATACTGAGGGATAGCTCTCTACAGGTGAGCAGAATGTGATGGACGCGACAGTACGTAGTATGCTCAATCACATGGCTGCTACGTCTGCAGTTATTGGAGCCTCACTGTCCGCATTCCTGACACCTAATGTAGCACAGCCCCGTTGCCAATACTTCACTGCAATCTTAACTCCCCTCGACGGCTTCACATATCACAGCAAGAAATAGCTCGCTGTGGGACCTGTTTGTACACTTTGATTTTGTTTCCTACCAAGGACTACGAAAAGGCTCACTCGTCAGCCTACAGGCCAGGCGGACACCCTCGACCAATGGCCACGTTGGTGGCAAGCGGTCTGCAGGCAGTAACGGGCGAAACGGGTGAAAGTTCACTGCCATTCAGACTCATCTCGAGGAATCGGAGATGCATAGGATAGCCATCTATAACTTCTTTGTGCTTGACCCAGTTTGCCCGGATTCCTGGTACCACAACGACTCACTTCATGCACCCGACAACTTAAGCCGTTGCCGTGACCTTCGACCTGGAAGTGTATTTCTCGTTGGGCAGAAATGTGCCGATCAAAAACGTAGGAAGTTATGGGGCTCAATCAGTAGCTCGCAGGATGATTGAACAAGTCAGCTTGATTCTCTCTATCCCGAAAAGTATCATATATACGCGTATCCGGATGCGGCCAACATGGAGAAGCGCCGAAACTCGACTGGTTGTGGGGATGCAGCTCAGTAATTTGCCTGTTCAAGATCGCGTAACGCAGGCTCAAAGTTTCACAAGAGAGTGAGCTTTAAGCCTTCTTCGGGCTCTATGCCGGGTGTACGGAGACCCGCTCGGCCCGGTGCGGTGCATTACATGGGTCGGGCGAAGCCCGGGCCTAATCCCGGCGCAGGATTGTGAGGGAGACAACCTTCAACACTCTCGTAAGCTTGAGAAACTCAGAGGTAGTGAGCGGATGGGCAGTGATAATTGAGCAGGTAGGAGGAATTTTGGCGTAATTATTGTGGCCTACCGGTAACAGTCATTTACACTTAGGCACGTGGTAGACTGCAAGTTCGCCTGCCATGCTAGTTGGTCTCTCACTACAGTGGCTAGTACAACTCAATCCCAAAGTTAAATCGTACTGGCGACCCTGTATCGACGGACTTCGGCTAATGAGCAGACCGTGCCGACTAAACACAGGCTGCATACTTGAGTTGCGACCTCCCAATCACCTCCGCACGATGTACGTTGCTTATAATGAGTGAGAAACACAATCTTCGACTGTCTGAGGTGTCGTCAACGAACCATCATCACTAGGCGAATCAACATGTCCTCGCAATTTTCGTTCTCGATATTAATCGTTGGAGCGGGGCCATCCGGGAACACGGCAGCAGCGGCTTTGGCTTCTGATGGGCACCAGGTAACTGTACTCGAACGCGGCTCTCGACTTCAAACACGGGGAGGGAACCTCATCGTCCAACCTTCCGCTGTGAAATGCCTGAACCTGCTTGGCATCTCAAAATCTCTGGATAAGGTGTCTGTGGAAACAGTCAGTGACATCCTATGGAGATATAAGGACGATGAGCCTTTCACAGTCACAAAGGCAATTCCCACTGGGACGATCCGGAAACCTACCGATAGGCCATCACTGCAGCGAATAACCTACGAAGCTGCCGTTGCTGCAGGAGCCAACTATCTGTTCAATAAGAACGTTGCCAAAATCATCAACGAGAAAAGTGGCAAACTTCGCGTGGTGATGGAGGATGGTAGCGATTACGAGGCTGATTTTGTTGTTGGCGCTGATGGCATCAAGTCACGCGTCCGGGAGCTCATGTTCCCCGGACAAAATGTGGATGCCACAGTAACAACTGAATGCATATTTCAGACAGAGGTTGACATCGCCAGCGTGCAGAACGACCCAGTCGCCGCTCCGCTTGGCGCTTGCTCGCACCATCTCATGTTCGGTCCCGGGCTTTACTGCGTCGGTCGGCCGACTGCTCATGGTACCGTTCGCATCCTTCTATGCAGTCTGCATTACGGGCTGCCATCCGCCGACGCGGATCTGGGCGGAACCTGGAACTCGGATGGTAACCCCGAAGAGATCCGCGAAGTGTTCAAAGGGTTCGGGGCGCCGCTGCGTGCCTACATCGAATGTGTGATACGTGGGGGTTACCCTATCGACAAGTGGCACATTGCCACAGCACCAAAGATGGAGACCTGGTTAGGATTTGACGGACGGTGTCTTCTTCTAGGGGATGCTGCGCATGCCATGTTGCCGCATACTGCCCAAGGGGTGAGCCAAGGCATCGAGGACGGCTTAGCCCTCAGAACAGCCCTTCGCTGGTGTGATAGTCAAGACAAATTGGGTGCTACTTTGAAGAAATGGGAGGCTCTTAGAAAGCCACGTGCTGAAAAGATGTTTGATGTCGGCCACGAGAACATTGTCTTGTTCACCCTTCCTGATGGGCCAGAGCAAGAAGCTAGGGATCAGAAACTCCTAGCTGGGGGTTTCACTGGCCACCCAACGGACTGGGAAAGCATTGAAATGGACGCGAATGCTCCAACTAGGACGCCGCAATTCACAAAATGGGCCATGTGCTACGATGTGGTTGCAGAGGTAAGTGGCAGTTCTACATTTTCCATACCCAGGCGTTGAGGATATCATATTGACACGAAGTCTTGCCAGACCAACAAAATACTTACCACGGACCGCAGCTCTTGAAAGGCGGTGTTCAAAGCAAGCCAGTGGATGAATAAAAGTTTCTCAGGCGAGATTCCGTTGGCCGTGCTGAAGGCGCCATGGACGAGGAAACGCTTTCCGAGAAGCCAAGTAACACGACGATTGAACCCCTCAATGCGCATTCAGCTGGTATTACTGTACTCAGGTGGTAATAGAAAACCATGAGGCCTGTTCTGCTTGATTTGTGCCGCCTATTGAATCGATGAAGGGTTATTGAGTATCTGTTGCCTTGACATGGCTATCTTGACCAAGACCCTCGCTTTCTTCACCATCATAAGCCGGATTGAAATGCCTTTGTGAAGTTCGACATAAACCAGAAACACTCCTCCTTTTCTAAAAATCGCTGCTTAACATAGCTGGTTTCAGAGATAAGAAGTGCTTTCAGCTAGGAGCGACAGCAGTGGATTCTGCTCGTCACTTCAACGATCTTTACGACCACCCAAACAACTATCATCTACTTCTCCCTATACGCTCCTGAACGCTTTACGACTGCAATGTCTAGCTTTACTCTGACTATCTTCAACTTCTAGGTTGTTGCGTTTACTGTAATCGGCTCCATCGCCCACCACTACGGTCTTGCAATCATGGGGCAAGTTTAGGTCCTGCATATCTAGCTTGTAGAGAGCTCTTACTGTTCTCTTTGCTGGCATCAACTCGCTGACGTCGTTGAACCATAGGTGTCCTAGGGCAGCCTTCTTTCATGCATTCTTGAACCTGGCACCACCAGGTATCCTTGGATTGTCTCCGACTTGTACTGTGTCCAATCGTTTGGACACCCGCCTCATTCTTCCATGTTCGCCTCTTTTCGTTCACTGCAATCTTAACTCCCCCCGAGCGCTCGAGGGTCAACGAGACGCCAAATCAAAGCCCAGCATTACGCGCAGAGCTGCAGCCAGGACAGGGATCACTCTCTACACTGCAATCTTAGCTGCCCCCGTAGGCTCTAAGTACAGCAGGAAACATACCACAGGTAACCTGTCCTGGAGTATGTTTTTACACTTCGTCTCTTGCCAAGGGCCACAAAGAGGCGCAGCCGTCAGCCTGCATGATGAAAGGTGTGGGTAATCCGCCAAGTTCTTTCACTGCAACTTTAACTCCTCTCAAAGGATCAGAGGTTGGCCCAAAACCCCTCAAGTAAGGCTCCTCTTAGAACCCGATTCCCTCTGCAATCTTCGAGAGGCATACTGCACACAGGGAGGCATGACCCCAAGGCAGTAACGTCGTCCTTCTGTCTCACCAGAGGCATACCAACCAGATACCGTGAGGCAGCCTAGGACTCGCTGGAAGAATCAGCATGATTGAACAGGTCGTCTTGATTCTCTCCATCCCGAAAAGTATCATATACACACGCCAGCGTTCTGCCAGCTTCTTTTGCCCCAACCCATCTTGCTCTCCCACATCTCCCCTCCAACCCTTGCTCTCTTCCGCCAGGTACAAGTATGGAAATCTAGTTCTTGCTTTGCGGCGCAAGGGCAAAGGTAGGACGAACGAATCTGTGACATCAATTAGCCATCTTCCTCCAAATCCCCATAGACCCTGTTTTCCACCGGACAGTAATCAGTCAGAAGGAACTGCGCCGTATTAACATACCTCTCGTTGTGGTAGACCTTGGTGTTCTCGCCCAACAGCTCCTTCTCTCTCGCCTGGTCGGCGTACCACCTACGAACCTGGTCGCGGTCCTCCTCGGCTTGGAGGAGGGGGATAAGGTGAATGCGCGCCCACATCTTCTCTCTCGCCAGCTCGCTGTGTCTTGTCAGCACTGTCCTCCTCGAAACCACGTGTCCCGTCTGATTGCTCCATTCCTCCCTAGGTGTATGTTCGTCGTTGCGTGCCTCTGGTATCCATGCCTGCTGCCTCCCGTTGAGCAGTGCAGCATCTGTCTACCAGACCACTCGCAACTTTGTCCAATGTCCGCCAGAAGAGGAATAGCAATCGTCATGGCGGGGCTGAAGGGATTGTCACGTACTTGGCTTCCCGGATACCCTTGGTCAACTGATACCATCCGTATCCCATCACCAGTCCCATACCGATCAACATTGTGCCGGGGCGGAATCCACGGGCGGGCAAGTTGCGCTGTTTCCAATGATCAGCATGGTTCCTCCAGAAATCTATGGCTGCCCTTCGTCCCCATGTTCGTGGTCCTGAGTCCAAAGTGTCCCTGATCCCGAGTCCGAGTGTCCGTGGCCTAGCACCCTCTCATCGTCTCAGTTCGGTGTCCTCGGTCGGAGTGCCAATTCGATAGTCGATAGCGCTCAGTATTCCCGTATCGCAAATGCCTCCTCTTGCCATGTTGCTGCTCCCATAGCCAACCTGCTCGACCCGATCGTCCCTTCTCAATTCCTCCTCTTGCGACTCCCTCACCCTCCACGCACTCTCTCTCAATTCCTCCACCACGCCATAATCACTCACCTTGTACTGCACAGCCTGGTAGCCCCCCACGGGCGGCATATCCTGAGGCATCCTGTCTCAATCGTTTCCTACCGACCCAACGCGGTCGGCTGCGCTCGTCTAGAGTGTGTATAGAGTGTCGTCGGGCGACTTTTGTCGGTCAATTGCCCCTTCGATGGATGGAGTCAATTGAATGCGTGTCGAACAAACAACCGTTTCGTTCGAGAGATCGGGAGGGGGTATCGGTGTCGATTCGACGGGGGTGTGTGGGTTGCGATGCGATATGGTGGTCGTCGAGCTCGAGATTCGGGGACAAGCTTTGGCCTGGGGTGCCTGAGGTGATTGTTTTCAGGTCGATGATGATTCGCTCAATTGGCAAACCGCTTATGTAAGGCACATTGTGGATCCGTTTTCTCATCTTCACCGAGGTGTACTCCCCCTTTGATTTCGGTGAGGAATTGGAGCATGATTGAGAACTGTACACTGTCACTCAGCTTCAAAGAGATGTTGTTGGGAATTGAGTCATAGAATAGGTCATAAATCTCAAGTGGCTAGATATGCACCGACCCAACACCTGATCGTCTATTCACCACCCCCCCTAACAAGCAGTACTGCACTTTGAATCCTACAAATATTTGCACATCTCAACTCCATGCCATGCTTCGCCAACAGAAAGGCTGGGGTATAAACCGAATGAACCATAGCCAACCAACTTTTTCTTTCTCACGTTCTTCCTGGTGGTCTTGCTCACTTTCGCGGCCTTCCCCTTTCTTAGCTCCTCCTTATATGCATCATGCCCCTCACTGTACGGCGGTAGGGATCACTAGTCCTCTCCGGCGGCAGCGAGCTCGGCCTCAAGGTCTGCCTCGAGATCGTCCTCGTCAAAGTCGTCAACTCCGTTCGCCGCGACGTTGTCCGGTATGAGCGCAACGTCCTCCTCATCGCCAGTAACTTGAGGAGTAGGCAGGCTGCTCGACTCGTTATTGTCCTCGACGTTGGGAGTCCGTACTGAGCTCAACTTGGAAGCACCGCGGCTTTTGGCAATGCGTTGCTTCTTGGACAGTGCACTTCCACCTTCGTCGGAAGCCGTATCATCGTCCATGGCTTTCCTCTTGGTACCGCCACTGGCCGCATTCGCAGACTCTTGGGATGAGGGCAGGTCCTCGCCAGCATCGGTATCGCCACTACGGCTTTCCGTATCGGCATCCGAGCTGTCGTCGTCGCTTCCGAGGAACTCCTTCATCTCGTCATCGACACCTTCCCAGTCAAACGACTTCAAGCCGTCTATCGGGCTGACTTGACCGTCCTCAAACTCGAGCATCATGTTCTCTTCATCGCCGTCCTGATCGCCTTCGTCTTCGTCCGAGGCATCATCATCTTCCTCGAGTACGCGTTGCTCGCCCGTTTCGTCAATAATTGTCAAGTGCGGCCGTGCATCATCGCCATCGGCGTCAGAAATTGTCTCCGCGTCGGTCGACTCGGACATGGCTAGCTGACGGCGGTCTGCTGGATGGACCTCGACCAGGTAGGGCGCTTCGTCGACACGCTGCCATTGACTGAGGCAATCAGACAGCCAATTTTGGCTGACAATCTTGATACTCGGGATCTTGGCTGCCTGTCTGACCTTCTGCGTCCGCGGGCGAGACGTCGAAATGACGAGATGGGTGACCTGCTTGGATACCCTGGTCGAAATTTGAGCGCCGAAGCTCATGGCTTGGATGCCAATCTCGGATTGCAAGACGTCGACGCCCAGGGGAACGAGGCCAGACAGGACAATCGTGGTGCCTTCAAGGGTCGCGGCCTTCATCGTATCGAGGACTTCGCCAACGTCTGGAACGGCATCAAGGTCGATGCCGTCGTCGCCCGTTTTCTTCCGCGGGGCAGACTGAGTAGGTGCAGCAGCGCGCTTCTCGTCGTATTCGGTGTAGAATTTGTGGTGTAATTGGGCAAGGTGTTGCTGTAGGTAATGCAGCTCAGCGTCGTCGTCGCGGAGGACTTGCGACCGATGTTGTACTGTCATGATGTGTGCGCCATTTTCGGTCTCCTGTGTCACCTTTTCGTTTTGTTCGTCTTCTTTGTCAAGTGCCTCTTGCATGTGTAGCAGCGGCCGTTCCTTGATTTGCTGTTCCAACAGTCTCTCTTGCTCTCCGCTTTGTACTTCCTGCAGGACCTTGTCGTCGCCGCTGCTCATCTTTACCAGCTCGTCAATGGCATACACCTTGCCATTTGGTTGGTCGGCTGCTGACGCCCCGCTCGTCTGTGCTGCGCTTGTCGTGGCGGCTGGCGTTGGCTTCGCTTCGGGTTCCGGCGGTGCGGGCAGGATGTCCTGTCTCTTGGGGAGGAAACTCGAGTTGATGTCACCGATACCCTTGAAGAAATCGTACGGCACAACCTTGATCAAGTTGGGGCGATTACTCGGCCACACATCTGCTCTGTCGTCGATAATGACCACCATGTTTGTGTTCACCGGGAATAACCGCTGGAGACTCTTTGAGATCATGCTGCCGTTCTCGTCACGGCTGATGACGCGGTTGCCAAAAAGCTTCTGCTGAGGATCGACGATCTTGGCAATGTTGAGAGCATATGCGCGTGTTCCCATTGTGTAGACGTGTAGCTCGTAAAGCTCGGCAACCTTCTCAAGGAACTCGGCGAGACCGGGCCGCATCTTGATGTAGTACCAGCAGCCGGATGTGACCATCCCTCGCGGGCCTTCATCGTTGAGCTGAAATTTCTTGACATCCTTGACAGCATTATAATTAGGATTTGACGGGTCCTCCATCCATTCGCCAACCGTAGGTTCGATACAGGCGTGGATAATGGTCTGGTCGAGATCAACAACTAGGCTCAGCTTCCGTTGCCGTAGCAGACGCTTCTGGGTATCGGACTCGGCACGCGCAGCCAGGTCGCCGCTGACCATGAGGCCGGTCTGATCGTGTGTCATGTTGATAGTGGCGCGCTGAGTATCGCGTTCGGCGGTGGCCCAGTTCACCTCGGTCATATCCTTACCGCAGATGGCGCACAAGCCTTGGAACTGGATCTCGTGGGAGCAGGCCTCCTCGACCATCATACACGGGGCGTCGCGGGTGAATGTCATGCCCTCCTTTAGACGCCATTCTTTGAGTGTGCCTTCGGCCGGACTATCCCAGCCTACGACGGTTGTTTCCTCCTCTTGCCAGGTGTTGCCAGCGATGGGGTCGCCGACTTCGCGCATCCATTTGAAAGAGTACTCGAGCACGCTCTCCTGTTTTTGGACGGCGTCGCCGGGGCGCTTGAGGAGTTTTGTAATGGTAATCGGGTAGCGCAGTCTCGCGCCGAGTGAAAGTAGCTTGCCCATGATGACGGCAGGCTACTGGGAGGGTTTGATCTAAAAGTCTGTCGCGGTAGGAAAGGGCCGAGGTTAGCAAGGTGAGCTTTGAAACACGCGCGTGCGCGCAAGTGGATGAAGAACTGAAAGATGCAAATAAGGGTTTTTCCAAAGGAGACGTGACACGAGGCGCGGTAGGCGGCAGCGAAGAGAACCTTCAACGACGTCTCGGAAATGGAGGGAGGAGGTGCGACGAACCTAATGAGACTCCCCCAGTAACAATCGGAGAAGGTGCCGGTGTAGTGGCCAATCCCATTGCCCCGAAGCTGATGAGGGGAGTGTTTGACGAATACGCAACAGATGGGGAAGCTCTGGAGCGTTGCGATGGGATGAGGTGGACAGATAGGTGTGAGATGGGTAAGTAAAGCCGTCGCCGTGGTTGGTTGATGGTGGAGGATGGCAAGAGAGGGAAGAAGACGCGTGGGATGTCCGTATTCTTCTTAGCCTTGGGTCTTGACTGCCTTTGCCTTAGTCGAGTATTCCTCGAGTCGTAGGCGCAATTGAGTTTTTGGTGACGTGATGCAATTGGACGGAATGCTGGATGTCGTCGCGCGAGATGTCCGTTTGGCTTGACGCGTGATATCCGTAACGTGCCCGTGGTGGGATGAAGTCGGAGCTGGTCTCGATGCGAGTCGCAATGGGAAGTCGAGCTGTGCTGCTGATGCTCTTACTCGCTTGGGGTTCGGGGGGTGTGGAGGTTTTGGAGCTCGGGGATTTCGAGTGGAGGCGGGTAGGTCTGGACCGAACCGTGACGTACACCGCAAGCAGGGCAAGGTGAAGGCAAGGTGAGCCGTGAGACGGAGTGGGGTCGGCTGTCGGTGAGCACTGACCACTTGGGTAACTGTGGAGTGAGGTGGGGCCGATCGGTCGGCCTTTTGCAGGAATGCTTTTCCGAAAGTAGCTTGTAGGCGGCGGGGAGGTCCCGTTGAGTGGAGCAAAGTTTACCGAGGACTGGCAGCGGGAACACTGAACGGTGTGCGTCGGTGGTGTTGGTGTTGGTGCTGATGGTCTTGGTGTGTACCTGTTCTGGCGGGATCAAGTACCTCGGGGTCTTCGGCAGTCCGCTGCTTTGCCAAGGCTTCGAGTGTTTGGTGATGGAACGTTGAGGTACAGCAGCAGATGCAAGTTGATCTGACTTTTACGTCTGTGTTGGAGATGATATCGAAGTCGAATACAGTTGATTTATGCACTCTCTCTGTAGCACCTTGCTTGTTGTAAGGTAGGTAGGTAGGTATCTGACAGACTGACAGAGCTGTGGTGTGATGGCCCTGGAGTGATGCGATGCTGAGCAATATGTATCGAAGAGAGAAAAAGGTACAAGGCCTAACCTGTCGAGGTACAAGGTACAGTCGCTGGCGGAAGGGGGAAAAGGCAGCCTTTTTGGTATCCGTCGACCACTATCAGCCGGGCCACCCCCTTCTGAAAGAGTGGGATGCGATGGTCTATTTGTACCTGCTGTAGCACCCCAGCCTGTTCCTCCGTGATGCAGCGATGCAGCAATGCAATGCTCCTCTTCCTCCTTCTCCTCTTCCCGCACATGGCGCCAGTCGGCTCCAACTGGTGGCCCCCTGGTGACCCCTGCATGAGAGCTTCACGAATCACCCACCCCCTTGTTCATTCCCCAACTCGTCTCTCACTCACCCTCACCTCACTCCCCTCTCACTCACAGTCTGTCACTCTGTTTACTGTGCCTCACACCCTGTGCAGTGTGTAGTGCATGAGGCCTCTCTCTTATCCCAGCTGTGAGCACCCAGATCAGATCCATCATCCCACCTCTGCCAGCCAGTCACAACTTTCTGCTCTTCATCATTGGGTTACAGTAGGAAGCCTCTTCAAACAAGCACAACCAACAATGAGTCACGTGAATACCGAGCAAGAAAGCTCTAATAAGTGAACCTGATGAGAAGAGTTCACAAACCTCATTGAATCTACCCTTCTCAAAGACTTTCAACATTACCTCAGCTATTCCCGTTCTCTGTCACGCGCCCTGAAAATAAGCTCCACTGAGTACCTACCCAAGGCAGAGACCTGAGGGGCAAAATGCAGTGGTCAGCAAACACCAGTGACGGGACCACCTGCATCAGTGACTCCCTCTCCAAAGTGGCGTGAACTCGGCACCTCACATGAGCAGCAAACGCAGCCTCCCACCACCTAACCTTAACCTGCCTACCTCCCATTCTAGATCTATTTTGTCTCCTGATTTCTTCCAGCTTGTCGACAAATCCCTCTCGTCCGGCCCTGATCCAGCAGCTGCTTTCAGCTCTTCTCTCTGCCGGCATTGCCTTGACGCTGCCACCCTTCTCTGCCTACCCAAGGTATGGGGAGATGCTTCAATAGTGTGATGATCCATGTAAATCGTGATGCAGGTCGATCAAGGTAGTGTAGAGCGGAGAGAGCTTCCCCCAGACTTTACCTGCTCTCTGATTCTGTGCATGAGACCTCCACCTAAGAGCATCAAACAGAACTCAACACGTCAAAGTCATTAGGGCCTTACTTGTACGCTTCTATTAGGTCTGCAGCAAACATTGCTCTTGTTCGTCTGTAATTCCAGACAAGACTACTACTTCGTTACCAAGAAAAGTCATAATCGAGTATTAATGTACTCTCTATCCATGAGTATGGGTGCCGCGTTGTCCCGTGTCCCGTGTCCCCAGTGCCGTTCTGATCACGCCACAACCCCGTAAAACCAGTCAGTCAATCGTTGACTATCCCCCATCTCCCACCCCAGACTCCGAACCAGGAAAGTAGCAACTCTTCCCCAGAATCCTCTAGCAAAGTCCTTTAAACGCCGTGCCAGCCAATGTTCATTCATTTCCATCAGGTAGCGTCCCAGAACCCCCAACGCATTCCCATTCTGATACCATAGCATCCACCTCAGATGCTAGCCTCGGTGTCGAGTCGTGTAGAGTCCTGTCCCATAACGCCTCGTTGAGTAACTCCTGGTTGACCCCCTAGGCCACCGGTTGCTGCGAGGGCGAGGGTGACACGCGCATTACTCTGTTTCCCAGAGGCTTGTCCCCCGGAAGTCCGGGGAGTGCTCCCATCTCGGAGAGCTTCTTGGTCGTCATGTCCGGATCGGGCTCGTCGTTCCCTATAAACGTCCAGCTCTCCTCGGCCTCTTCGTCTTCGTCTTCTTCGGCATGCGCGTGCTTGCCTGCCTTTCTCTTGATCAAGCTCGTCGCGTACTCCATATCGCGGTACAGGCACTGAATCGCGTTTTCCACGCCGCGTTCCTATTGTTGTGTTAGTTGGTCATGAAGTTGAACACTTGGACCGGGAGTTATGACTTACGCTGCGAATCTGCTCTCCCAGCACGCGAGCCTTGACAATCATACGGTCGTTATGCGTAGCTTCCCAAAGCGCGCGAGCAAAAGAGACTGCACCCCATTTCTTCAGACAGATACCGACGCCGATATCCTCGACTCTGCCGCCAAAGAAGAATTGGTCACCAAAGAAGGGTCGAATGATGGTCGGAATACCAGCCCTCAAGCTAGCACCCGTCGTGCCGGATCCACCATGGTGGGCGGCTGCGTCAATCTGTGAAAACAGCCAGTCGTGAGGCGCACTCTTGATGACGAAAATCTCGGGCGGGATAACGGGCTCATCCTTTGCGCTCTCTGCCTCACCCTGTTTGGCCACACGATCCGACCAGCCCTTGGACAAGATGCAGCGCACATCGGCCTTTTGAACGGCGTCAATGACCTCTTGGGTCATCTTGGCCGTGTCATTCACGATAATAGATCCGAAGCCGACGTACACGAGCTTCTTCTCGTCCGCTCTGGCCTTGGCGATGAAGTCGACAAGTTCCTGAGGCGGCTTGAAATCCGTACCCTCCTCCAAGAACCAGTAGCCGGTGACGCGAATCCAGTCCGAAAAGTCTAGAGGCGGTGCGACGACGTACTCGGAAAAGTTGTAGAGGAAAGGAACCTTATTGGGCTGCATCTTCTCGAGGCTGGTGTTGGGCAGCTTGAGTGTGTTGTTGCGCCAGCGATTGACCTGATGAGCAGTCGCCTTCCAGAAAATGTTGTCAAACATAACATACGTCATGTAATTGTACGCACCACCCATCTTGTACTCGGGCATAACGAATGCATGAGGGTAGGCTCTGGTCCGGGTCCACGGCATGGTGAAGGCTCTGAAGTAGGGAATCGAGAGCTTCTCTGCAATGTGAATGCCCGCCATGGCACTAGGGCTCTCAATGAGGAGATCAGAGCCCTGGCAGGCCTCCCACGCTGAAACCAGCAACTCATCCAGCCATCCGCGGAACATGGAGTTGGCCTCGCGCAGGAAAGCCCAAGTGAACGTGCCGTTCTCGATGCAGAGTCTCATGAGCTCACCAGGATCACCGTCGACCTTTGCGAATTCGATACCGTGGCCCTCGATCCAGTCCTTGAACTCGGCGTGAGTAGCGATCCGAGGCTTATGGCCTTCTGCAATCAAGCCCTTACACAGCGCAATGTACGGCTGAACGTCACCTCTGGAGCCGATCGTCAAGCAAGTAATCTTCATCGACTGAGAAGGCTTGAAGTTGAGGAACGAGGCTTTGGGGTCGTCGAACAATATAGTCGGAGCATCGCTAACGCCTGAGCCTTCCTTCGGCAAGCGAAGTTCGTGGTCGTGGAACTCCTCAACTTGGCGAGCCTCCTTCAACGCGTCGCGCTCGGCCATGGCGTTCTCCTCCTCTTCCTTCTCGTCCAGGTCCAGGTCTCCCGACTCCTTCAGGTACCGTGTTGTCTCCAGGCTTTGCAACAGAGTGACAGCGCAATCGTCTCGGAGTTCGGCCTGGCCAAACTCGAAAAAGACCTCCTCGTGGCCACGAATGACAACCACCAAGCCAGAGTAGCCGAACCGGAAGCCCTTCTCCTTGTCCACGTTTTCAATATCCTTCAAGGGGAGAATAAGCTTGGTCCTCGTTCCAGGCAACAAGCTGCGGAAGCAGAAGGACTTATCGCTGATGTAGATCTTGCCGTACAGTGGCAAGACACGCAAGATGTAGCCGAAGTAGGTCGCTTGAAGCTTCTCCGTCTCGGGCAGCGCGAAATGTGCGCGGAATCGATCCATGGAAGTCTGGATCTTGCCCTCTGCATCCTCGTATAGATCTTCATCGTCCGTCTTGATTTCAGGAGGAGCGTCGTAGTGCTTCCGGCCGCCTCGCCACATGCCCGACACCTTTTCGACGTAGCCCATTGACTCCGTTGCCAGCATAGAGCCCAACTTACCACTAGTGCTGTTGAGATACTGGGCAAAGGCGCCCACACGCTGCAGAGGGAATGCGCCCATCTTGGTGATACTTTGCAGCGTAGGGGTCACGGGAGGTTTGTCGCCATCATTGATGGAACCTGTCGTTGCAGCATGCTGGCCACTGTATGCGGCCAATGCAGGTGGGCTCCTATTGTCACGGCGCTGGTTCTTTTCGAGCTCTGTCCGGGAGGCAGAAGCTGAGCGTCGGACCGTGGGGTTCTGGAAGACGTCGCTGCCGCGCAATATTTGGCTTGCCGAGGGATCCTCGTTCGATGATGCCACCATGCCTGAATAGCTCGGATCTTCCATAGAAGACTGGACATAAGAGTCAGTAGAGCCCTGCTTGTGGGTCCCGTGACGAGAGTCGTCGAGACGGTTCCTGCTCATGGAGCGTCGGTTGCCGCTGAAGCTGCGTCGGGGCGAGGAATCGCGAATGATGGTCGACAGGTCCAAACTACGGCGGCGGAACCCCCTAAAGGCATCGAAACTAGCTCGCGCAGCATCCATGCTGGCGCGTGGACTGAGAGCCGATGGGCTGTGAGCAGACAGTGGTGACA